CATCCTTCCTGAAAGGCTGACTGAGGACAGTTCGGTGAAACTGGGGTCCCTGAGAAGGAAGGCTCCTTCCTGCTGTCAAAGATTAAACTATTTGCCTAATCTTCTTAGAAAAACACTTCAAGAGACCACAGCCTTATAAGGTCCTTTATCTACCTCCAGCCCTCCTACCCACCCCACCTTAGTTGTAGCCTGAGATGGCAGCGGGAAAAGTCAGCTTTGTTTTTCTGACTCTGCTTGTAAGTTGTTGGTTTTGTGCTGTGTGGAGACAAAGTGTTTAAAGGAAAGCAAACAAATGTATTTGCTTTCAGCAGCTGTTGTATCTGTTTCCTTTTCTGAGTAAAGAAGGGAAGTGGGCGTTCATTGGAGTAGTATTTGAAGTTACCTCCATGAATATTATATATGTGTGATACAGACAAGAGAGTGGTTTTTGTTTTTGTTTTGTTTTTTGTTTTTTTCCCCGTCTAAAAGCTTGGAAGGCAAACTAGAAACGAAAGCGGCTGACCACTGAGTTAGTGAATCCAGTTCATGCCAGGCTGCCCGGGGACGCTGGGCATCTGAGTTGAAGCGAGTAATGTAGGTTAAATAACTGCATCTAAACATACAGAATGTGGGTCATCTGTAGGATTTAGTCGCCATCCAGTGAGGGACACTGGAGATTAATGATAAAGAAGGGCTTTTTGAAGAGACAGCGCTCAGGAAATGAGGGCTTCAGGGTTGAAGTGAATTTTGGTTTGGGTGATATTGTGCTTCATACTGGAGAACCTGGGCCAAAAGGCACTGTCTCAGTCACAGTCCCAAACCTTGTATCCATTAGGGAAAAAAAAAAAAAAAAACATAGCTGGAAAAATAGGAGGTTGTTTTTTTGGTTTGGTTTGGTTGTTTCTGATTTGTTTTTGTTTTAATAATAAGATGATGCTTTATAAAATCCTAGATGTAGATGTTTCTAATTGAATGTAAATTTCTGGCACTACACAGTGGCATGAGCCTGTAATGCTGGCTGTTTAGCAAGCTGAGGCAGAAGGACTGAAAGGGAAAGTATTAGCTCAGGATCCCCAAGACCAAGTACAAAGGAGATTTACTTGCCCTGGAGGGACAGAGGGCAGGAAATAAAAGACAAAGACAGGAGATAGAAGACTAGAGAGAGGGGGCAGGGATATTTGTCCTGGAGACAAACGTCTGCCTCTGGATAGAGAGAAGACAGACAGGGCCCTTAGGCAAATGGCAGTTTATGAAGGTTAACCTGGAAGCCCCATGTTAGGATGGGCTGTTTAATTTTAATTGGGCGTGTTAATTAGGGCAGCCCAAGGGAGCTTTTGCTAGACTTCAATACTTTGATAGCTGGACCTCGGCGGTCAGCCTCAAAAGGAGGAAGTGGCCAAATAAGGGACTACAGACCGTGGTGGATCGCTTTAGGGCTGTAATCTAGCGATTTTTAGCAAGGCAGAGGGCAAGGCCGGCCAGAGCAATGATTGTAAACTGGCTAGAGTCCCCTCAAGGATTATACATTCAAGGCCAGCCTGGACAACTTAGCCTCCTTCTCGAAATATGGATAGGAGAGGATTTGGAAACAGAGTACTTACGTAGTGTGCATGAGCTGTTACTTCAATTCCAGGCCCAATAAAATAAAATAAAATAAAATAAAATAAAATAAAACAAAATAATAGGTTCTTAACATTTAGAATGAAAACTCCAAGGATGTCCAGCTTTTAAAAATAATTTTACTTTCACAACGGAGATACTCTAATCTCCATAGGTGGAACCAATCTACGATGGGAAGGAAAAAAAAAAAGTGTTGTTCAGGCCTTGAGCAGAGTCCAAGGAGCAGCAAACCCAGAACCATGTGGCAGATGGCACAATGTGTTAAATACTGCCGATGAACCACAGGTAGAAGTCACTGCGTGCTGAGGGATCGGAGTCCCTACACAGAGTCCTCAAGGAAGAGAAGGACACTGACAACTCCAGACAGGAAAGTGCCCTTAGCTGTGATAGATCTTCTGACAAGCTGTGACACATTTGAGTCTGAGTTCTGTAGCTGTGGCCAGTTGCAGATAGCCTGGTCTATACATCCCACACTAGCCTGGTCTATGCATCTCACACTAGCCTGGTCTATGCATCTCACAAGTGAAGAGAAATTCTCAGTAGGTATGGAAGACAGGTAACTCTCCCCCTTATGATCTGAGACCAGGCACATTGCCTGTAAAATATTGACCACCTACATAGCCTGGCTCAATGCCTGGAGCTGTCCTCCTCACTCTCATTCAGCCCTGGAGACATAGTTGTTGGGAGTTCTGCCTTCTTAGTTTATCTGAGTAGTAGAGTTGCAGAGCAAAGTTTTTTTAAAAAGAAAAACTCGCATCACCAGGATTTAAAAGAGTGACTTGATTCCAGAAGCAGACTTTAACCTTGACGTGGTGCACGTAGCTGTATTTTGTCCAGTGCAGACAGGAAGGCAAAGGTGGGGCTTCTCATGTGAACTCCAAGCTAATGAAGAGAGCTCGCCTCAAAGGAGGCTGACAGTGTTCCTGAAGATAATGCCTGCGGTTGTCCTCTGGCCTTCATAAGAGCATAGACACATGTGTGTCACCTTCCACCCCCCCACACACACATACACACACACATGAACACGCACACCCTCAAACACAATTACATGTACATTACCCACATGTAATGGGTGCTATTTAGAAAGCGGCGCCCTGTCCGGCTTGTTCCCGCTGCTCCTTGGCTCTGACTGGGGCTCCAGCTAGCTAGATGCACAGGCCCTGGCACCCACGAGACACCAACGTGAGGGATGTCTCTGCCAATACACCATACTGTCCACAATGCTCGGCTGAGCCCAGATCATTCCTGCTATGCCCGAGGTACCCAGTAGAATGAAGACTCTTAATGCTTAAAGATTATCCAACAGATTTATGAATTTGGAAATGCTCAGTTAACAAGATGCCCATACAATTAGAATTGTTACCAATATGTAATCTTTTGATAAGTAGCTACCCAGGACTGCTCTTGAACCATCGGTCCTCCTCCATGGTTGCTAGCCTCCTTTTCTCTCCTCTTTCTCCTCCTTCCTCTTCCTTCTCTCCTCCTCTTCCTCTTTCCTTCTCCCAGCTCCACCTCCTCTTCTACCGCCCAATCACCGAGCTCCACTGCAAACACAATGTAGCAGAATATCTTACTACCCCCCCCACACACATACACATACACACACACATATACACACACACATACAAATAAACACATTTGCATGTGCATTACCCCCCTACACACGTATGTAGCAGTACCTCCTCACAAACCCATGCATACATTCATGTGTACATTACTGTGTTCGGCCTTTATAAGGGACAGTATCTCTTTTCTTTAAGGCACCTGCATTTTGCTTGTGCCATGTTTGTATCTGGGCTAGGAAATGGATCTTTCCAGAACATATTTGAACCATGTGGGGTAATGTCGGATATTTCTCAGTGAGATTCACTGTTCTGGGGGACTTGTCAGTCAAATCACAACTAGAGAAATGCACAGGTACATGGCAGGTGTTGGAGAAAAGGCCCAGCCTGTCAAATCAGGCACACCTCCTCCGGACTGTGCTGTGATTTCTCCTACCACCTCCACTCAGCTATTGCGGAAGTCCCAGATAACCAGAGGATAGCAGCTCACAGCCTCTGGCATGGCCTGCCTTTCACAGTGAGTCCAACCACTGCTGCCTTGAGCTGGCCAGGTTGTCTTTGTGGTTCCTGCTTCAGACATGAGCTACTCAGTGCCCTGAGTACAAGTTCTTCTGGGTACTTTTTCTGTCCTATTCAAGGTACTGAACTGAAACTAACCATATCAGAGAGGAAAAGGGCCTGTTCCTGTTTTAGATCTATAGATTTTATTCCCCAGGAAGTAGCTACACAGACAAGAGGAAGACTTTCATGAGGGCTTTGCTTTCTTTATAGAATGTTCCAGAACATGCCAACCAGAAATAAAAAGCCATCGATCCTACTTTGTACCTCCACTTCCTGCCCGGTACCCAGCGTCTTCCATCTTTCCAGGGGCTCATCACCCCCCACACCACAGGGACTCCATGGTTAGACTTAACCCATGTAATAAACCTGAGTATTTTATGATAGCTCATTCCTTCCCCCAAGTATTTATATTTCTGTGTGCTGTTTCTCTAATAAAGGGGGATGGGGCAACATTCATAAGAGAGGTAGGCACAATGTAAGGAAATCAACAAACTCCTCATGAGGAATTTATTCATGGAGGAAAAATTAGGGTTGACAATGAGAGACAACAGCAAGGGGAATGGTCTGTGGGCTGAGGAAGGAGGTAGGGGGCTCTCTGAGGGGACGAGTTCAAGTTAAGGTTGGAGGAAGAAAACGGACCAATCAAGGAAAGTTGGTGGGAAGAGTGGGTCAGAGGCAGTGGAGCAGCCAGGATAAAAGGCTTGAGGCAGGGACACAAGGCTTGCTCCTGAGAGGGCAGATGATAAGTGATGAGGTACAACATGACGGGGACCTGATACTGAGGCCCAGCAGCTGTGAATTCACACTAAATTGGCCACTGAGGCAAAGCAACACAGTGACAAGGAACCAAGTTCCTCAAAGGTTTCTCTCTTGAGATAACCCCACAGTGACAAGAGGATGTAAGGAGGGCAGAAGTGAGCAGATAGCCCATGAGGGGCAAGGGGAGCTCAGGTGTGTTCTGCCATGGTTCTGAAGACTGGAGCTGAGACATTGGGCTGGCCACGGGGCTGGGCTGAAACGCACAGCTTCAAGATATGCTCCAAGTTCAAGCCCAAGGTTCTTGTAAGGGACAAGAGAGAGGAAGGACCACGAAAGCCACCGTGACACTGGTTTTCAGGCCCTCTCCTTCAAGCACGCACCTTCTGTCATACGCCACACTCTCGCGTCTCTCCTTTCTTAGCTGGTTGAGTTTTCCATAAAGCTTGGGTGCCTGGGCTGCTCTGGATCCTGAGGAGCATGCTCAGATGTCTGACAGGCCACTCGCTGTTTATTTTGCAGCCCACAAGGACCTCCTCTGAAAGTATCTATTCTAGACCAGGTTCCAGCATCCCTGGCTCACCAGGCCATACCATCTATGTAAGTATCACTTCCAGAGGAGACACTTAGCGAGGGTTGGGAGTGCGGGTGGGAGGGGAGGGAGGGGAAGCAGGTGAGTTCGAGGACTGGAACCGTTGGACAGAGAGTCCAAGAGAGGAAGCTGCTCCCCAGGGATCTCTGATCCTGTTAGAAGATCCCAAAGGTGCAGTCACATGATAAAAGGACTTAAAAGATTGTTGCACCTAACATGTCTACAGACAGTTGGAGGATTGATTGCCCATTGTATAATGTTGCTGCTGGTGTTATTGAATTCTGCCAGAATACATATTTAGTTTATTCAATATGCAGTACTTACATTTAGCTATCTGCGAGGATTTTTTGACCATCTATTTGAGGATTTTTTTCCTCTCTCTGTATTAAGAAACATTTCTGAAGGTTGACATATTTCTCTATTCACTGAATTCCATACACACCCCTTCCTAAGCCTTTATTATTTTTTTTTATTTTTAAGCATAATTAATAGAGGCATCGGTGGGCAACTTCCTAAAGGGTGTGACATCATGCGGCGAGGCATTGGTTTGTTTTAAAAATCTAATTTTAGGCCGGGTGATGGTGGCGCACGCCTTTAATCCCAGCACTTGGGAGGCAGAGGCAGGCGGATTTCTGAGTTCGAGAGTTCGAGGCTAGCCTGGTCTACAGAGTGAGTTCCCAGGACAGCCAGGGCTACACAGAGAAACCCTGTCTCAAAAAAAAAAAAAAAATCCCACTTTAAGCGAGGCGTAAATGACACTGAGGATAATTTCTCAACAAACTGAAATAGAGGATTAACTTTTCTTTCTGTTTAACTCTGCTAGGCAAAAGTAGACAATGAAATCCTGGATTACAAGGACTTAGCAGCTATCCCCAAGGTCAAGGCGATCTATGACATCGAGCGTCCAGATCTCATTACCTACGAGCCTTTCTACACATCAGGCTATGAAGACAAGCAGGAGAGACAGAGCCTTGGAGAGGTAATGGATTCCCAGGGGCTGCAAGCAACATGGCCGTCCAGCGCCCCCCTTTCGCTCACCCGTGTAAGAACCACTGTTTGGAACTAAGCTAAGTCAGACTTTGCTGACCCTCTGGAGAGCTCTGTATCTGGTGCTTTGAAAGATTCAGAACCTATCCCATGACCTTCTCCTAACTGAGGATACAGGGAGGTAGGAGATTAACCAGTTGCTAATGAGTTAGGTGCGGAACTGTAGCCATGCTGGGATGGGACCTGAGGGAGTGTGTGTGTGTGTGTGTGTGTGTGTGTGTGTGTGTTGGGGGGAAGGGGTTGTTAAGGGAAAGAGGTCATAGGGTATCTTGGCCTTGAGATAACTTGGAAGGACATTTCTAGGGATAATGAGATATAAGGCCACACCCTTAAATTTGAGTGGTTTCAGTTTCCGACATCTTAATGGAGGATGAATGGAGGGGAAGGCGGTATGGATGAGCAGATAGCTGAATTCCTTGAATCGATTACTGGAGTTCAACCGAAGGTGTCACCACATGCTGGTTCCCACTGTCATGTGATAGTCACTGTGATCTCAGTTTCCTCATCAGGAAAGTAGAGTCATGACAGACAGCTCCTTGGAAATGTTTACATGGATTCAAGAAACTGAAGAGCAATGAGGCGGGGCCGACTTGCACATGCTCAGTGAGGAGGGGCCGACTTGCACATGCTCAGTTAGGAGAGGCTGACTTGCACATGCTCAGTGTGGCATTCGTCACTGCTGTGGGCTCTTCTAAGGCTCACTACAGCTCAGCCAGCAGGACTGCTCTTCTGCTGGGCCAGAGCCTCTCAGCCTAGAGGACTCTTCCCTGTGCACTCATCCTAGGGTTTGAGGTTCCCTACTGCCACCTCGTACCCCGATCATACGCCATTTCCCTCGGCCCCTTCAATTTATTCTAATTTCCCCACTTACTTATTTGTTTATTTGGTTGGTTGGTTGGTTAGTTTTTCAAGACGAGGTTTCTCTGTGTAACAGCTTTTGCTGTGCAAGACCTGGCTTTGTAGACCATGCTGGCCTCGAACTCACAGAGATCTGCCTGCTCGGATTAAAGATGTGTGCTACACACCTAGCCCCTTTATTTAGTTTAGTTGTTATTTCAGCTTGACCCTGGAAGCTTTAACAGACTGACAGACTCATGCTTTCCCACAGTATGCTCTTTCTCTGTCTTGTTCATTATTTAAGTTGAAGTCATCCGTAGCCTGATTGGACTCCATTCAGAGAGATATTACCAATTAGTGGAAGTAACTGGGCCCTCCATCCAAGGTTAGAGAAGACTGCGGTCTGTAGCATCCCACAGTGCCTAGACTTGCATGAGATGAACCAAATGCTCGAGATACATGTGTCATGCTAGCCTTTGGGATACAGCAGGAGCTTGGAAAATCCTGTCTCAACACCACTCCCCCAAAAGGCATGAAAATGTGGTAACTGGCTTTGGTCTGTTCCCAGTTATGCGCTAGTATTTATTGTTTTATAATAATTTTGTGTATGTACAATCATTCCTCTTCTTTGCTTATTCCTAATCTGGGTTTTATTCTGGAGCACAGCCTGCATTAAGGTTCCCAGTCTGGCAAGGGATTTGCATTTTCCCATAGTGCCACCTGGTGGCTCACTTGCTGTACTCCATCTACAGACAGTTGATTGGCCTGGGCTGTTAGCTACCATAGAATTTCAGAATTTCAGAGGTCAAGGGTCAAGAAACTTTCTGAACAAAGCACATAAAGACTGACCTTCAAGTCAGTGGTCAGGTGTTTTTTTCTTTTTTTAAAGTTCAAGACATATACGCAAAAGGGAAATGTTGGGCAGGGTTGTGGTTTTTAATGGTGAATGTGTGCTGTGTGCATCCATGCATGCCTCTCTTGGGTGTGGTGTGTGTGTGTGTGTGTGTGTGTCTGTGTCTGTGTGTGTGAGTGTGTGTTATTATTGCTGTCTGTTATTGTGTTGTTTTGTGTTCTCCCAATAGCTCCCTCTGGAGCAGCAAAATATCAAGCAGAAATTTGGTTTGGAAATAAAGTTTAGGTCATTTAAAATCTGACTGTGCCACCTACTGCTAACTCTGGGCTTAGAAAGTAAACATGTCAGGTTTTCCATAAGGAGTGAGATCGTTAGATTAGACCAATATTTGACATCTGACAAAAATGCTAACATCCCACAGGTTCTCATGATCCACTATTATGTGACCACCCAGAATTGTGGCCTGTGGCTGTCTTGTGCATAGAGGATACCCTTTTGGGACAGAAATCAGATACATTAATAAACTTCCTCTGAATGCATGGATCTTGCCGCTGAATGAACACTACAAGCTATTCCATTACTTCTTCCATCAGTTATGACACTTATTTTGTAGAACCATGCATTATTTTAAAGACACAGGAGAGATGGAGAGGCAACTCAGTTGGTGAGGTGCTTGCCACAGAACATGAGGACTAAGTTCTATTCTCAGAACCCACATAAAAAGCCCAGTTTGGCAGCTTGTGCCTGTTATGTTGGTGCTGGGAAGTGAAGACAGAAGGATTCCTGGGGTCTGCTCTCCTGCAAGTGTGAACTAGTGAGCTGCAGGTCCATCGAGAACTAACCAGTGAGCTGTGGGTCCACCGAGAACCGTCACAAAAAATGAAGCAATTGAAAAAAGACACTTGACATTGACCTCTGGCTTTCTCACACACATGCATGCATGTCTACACACACTCACACATACACATGCGTGCATGTATACACTCACACACCTGCATACATGTATATACACACACACATGTATGCATGTACATACACATTCACACATACAGATGATGCATATATACACTCACACACATGCATGCATGTATACACTTACACATGCACACATACACACACACGAATGCATGATATATACACTCACATACATACACACATATACACACACTCACATACACATGCATGCATATATACACACAAGTCACACATACTCACATACATTCATGTATACACACAGACATGCACACATATACACACTCACACCCAAAGAGTAAACTTAAAGTTGATGTAATTATTAGCATATTTGGGAAATATGGATCAAGCCAACCATTAATAAGGGCATGCCTAGCTTCTTTCTAGGAAGGCCATCCTTATCCATCAAAGCTTCGAGCTCTAGAGATAGCCTATAGCTCCAGAACCATAAAGGAAGCTTGGACAGGAAGGTAGCCTGTCAGCTTACTAATAACATGGGAGAGGAACAAATCCTAAAAGCAAGAGCTGCTTTACCCTACCCCTTGCTCAGGCCAAGTCGTCTGAAATTCTGTTTATAGCTCTAGTTAAAGGCCTTTTGGATTCGATTGTAAACATTTCATTCACTCCAAAAATAGTCCTTGAGTCCTCTCCCTTGTCACTGGGAGCGAATGGTTGTAGACAGAGTCAAGCAGAAACCAGTCAGCAAAGAGGCAGACATGCAGTGAAATGTTGGAGGGGTTAGTGCAGCAAAGGAAAATGTGAACAGGGGGGGGTCACGGGAGGTGTGGAGGAAAGTGTGAACAGGGAAGTCATAGGAGGTGTGAAGGAAGGCGTGAATGGGGGGTCACAGGAGGTGTGAA